GTCAGGGGTGGGGCCTGTGTGGGCAGGGCGTGGGCAGGGCATGATCCTGTGTGGGCAGGGTGTGGGCAGGGTGTGGGCAGGGCGTGGTCCTGTGTGGGCAGGGCGTGGGCAGGGCATGCTCCTGTGTAGGCAGGGTATGGGCAGGGTGTGGTCCTGTGTGGGCAGGGTGTGGGCAGGGCGCGGGCAGGGTGTGGTCTTGTGTGGTCTTGTGTGGGCAGGGCGTGGGCAGGGCGTGCTCCTGCCTGGGTACCGCAGCCCCCTGCGTCCCAGGCGTGGCCACCCCAGGGTCCCCCCTCCCTCAGGTGAACCTGACGGCCACCATGGGGACGCTGGCGGTGGCGGCCGTGGTGGAGGGCGTGGAGCTGCGGGGGGAGGGGCAGCCCCACCTCTCGCTGGCCGCCGCCCACCTGGACCACCTCAACCGCCAGCTGCAGTTCGTCACCTACACCAACACCCTCTTCCACCCCGACACCGCCGACATCGGTGGGTGCTGCGGGCTGGGGCAGGCCCTGGGGGCACGGGTGGGACCTGCTTGGGTGCTGACCCCATGGGTGCCATGGATGGGTGCTGGCCCCACAGGTGCCACGGGTGGGACCTGGATGGGTGCTGGCCCCATGGGTGGACCCTGGATGGGACCTGGATGGGTGCTGACCCCATGGGTGGGACCTGGATGGGTGCTGGCCCCACAGGTGCCACAGGTGGGACCTGGATGGGTGCTGGCCCCATGGGTGCCACGGGTGGGATCTGGATGGGTGCTGGCCCCATGAGTGCCATGGATGGGACCTGGATGGGTGCTGACCCCATAGGTGGACCCTGGATGGGTGGTGACCCCATGGGTGCCACCCACCCCCCGCCTCTACGGCCCCAGCCCCCCCGGGGACAGCGACGGGGACGGAGGTGAGCCACGGGGACCCCACCCATGCACCCCAAAACCAGTCCTCCCAGTTGGCAGGGCCCAGTCCTCCCAGTGCTGGGGAGTCCCAGTCTTCCCATTGTGGGGTGCCCAGTCTGGTGTTGGGGCGCCCAATACTCCCAGTGGTGGAGGGGTCCCAGTTCTCCCAGTGCCAGGGTGCCCCAGTTCTCCCAGTCCTCCCAGTATGGGTGCCCAGTCCTCCCAGTGCTGTGCACCCCAGTCCTCCAAGTGTGGGTGCCTGGTCCTCCCAGTCCTCCCAGTGTGGGGTGCCCTAGTCCTCCCAGTGTGGGTGCCCAGTCCTCTCAGTCCTCCCAGTGCTGGGTGCCCCAGTCCTCCCAGTGCAGGTGCCTAGTGCTCCCAGTGTGGGTGCCTGGTCCTCCCAGTCCTTCCAGTGCAGGGTGCCCCAGTCCTCCCATTGTTGGGGCGCCCAGTCCTCCCAGCGCTGCGTGCCCCAGTCCTCCCAGTGCAGGTGCCCAGTGCTCCCAGTCCCCCCACCTGATGTCCCCCCACCCCCGGCAGGGTACAACATCACGGCACTGGTGACCATCGCCACCAAGACCTTCCTGCGCTACGACAAACTGCGGGGGCTCATCGCCAGCATCCGCCGCTTCTACCCCTCCGTCACCATCGTGGTGGCCGATGACAGCCAGCGCCCCGA